TTTTTCGCTGTTTTGCCATACGTTTCCGTCAAATGCATTGGCGTATAAAGCGACATGTAAAACAGGTAAGTGTACCCATTCAAAAAAAAAAAAAAATGTATGTACAAGGTAAATTACATATACATTAGACAATGACTGATCATCAATTGTTGAGGCCGAACCGAAACGAACTGAATTTTGGCGAATTTTTTCAATGTACCTCAAAAGCCGAATCAACATTGTTTTTTGACAAAACCGAAACGAAATCTCATCAAACTTTTGTTGGTGGATTTAAATGCCAGTGCTCGGGCATGCGTTCATCTGACTATATTCTGCATACGGCTTGCAGGCCATCAGCTCCAGCAGCTACATCGACTCCATCGTCATCGAGTGCGGGCTCGGCTTCGTTTTGTCCACTACTTTCAATGCCGCTGCCTTTCTCAATCGGGTGGAAAAGTGTTGCCTCCATAATTTAAGTACATACATTCTGGACATCGTCACTAGGTCGTCATGGTTGTTCTTACAGGATTTCACCCTGGTCTTGAAACCTTTTAAGTCAACTAACCCTCTGATAAAATTTTCGGGTGTTTTTGTTGTCGGCCAGCATTTCAAGTTCTTCGCACTCAAGTATTTCGGCCTCTCTCTTCTTATTGCGGAAAATACGTCTCGCTTTCCCCTTGAGTTGCTTATAGCGTACTTTCGACAGAAAACTTAACTAAACCTCTTTAGTTTAATACCCATATTGTATGTGTTCATTTATTTTATCAATTTAGTTGAATACAATTTTTCAAACAAGTGGCAACACGTTTCATAAAAAGTGTTGACAGCAATTTTACCCTTTAGCCTGATACCCATTTTGCAATATTTACAGTAGAATCTCTAAAAAGTTAACCGAAATGTCCCAAGGGTAATTAACTTTTTCGAATTGTTAACTTTTCTAAGCGGGTTTCAAAATTTAAAAAATATAATAATAAACATAGAGTGTTTAAGAAATAAAACTAATAATAATATTGCATTATTTACTTTCTTATCAATTTACTTAAAGTACAATTTCCTACAGTTGGCAACTCTTTAATATTTTTTTTTCTATATTTTAAGATAGACCTCTAGCAATACATGCATTAAAGTGTTTTCGTCTCCACCAAAAAATGTCGCCCTTTGATTGCCCCTTTCTATTTTCGTGTTCGATTCTAAAATAAATTTTACTAGAGTTCACTCTTTGATGCCAAACGGCGAAAGGCAAAAATTAGAGCTTTGTTGTGCACAAAAGCGTGAACAGTGCAGATGCTTTGGCTGTGAAATTTCAAACAGTTCAGCCACAGGGCGGTCTCAGATATTCGTTGCGCTTCGCCTGCGCTGTTGCTTTAACTGCCGAACGATGTACGAACAGCACAGCACCACAACACAGTTTTCTCGCTCTTTGCATTTCAGTCAGGGTTTTATCTGTGCGTTTGTGCTAAACTAAAAGTGCGAAATGTTGCTATATGTTTGTTGTAAAAAACTGTGTATGTCACATTTTCGGACTTTCACTCAAATGCACATAGTTTTGCCTTTAAGAGTGAACTCTTAAAATGTCACACTCTTGTAAGACAAAAAAGGCACATGCACTGCCCTTTGAAGCCTTGTGAGGTCAGATGGTTGCCCTTAAAATCAGATGGTTGCCTAAAACAACAATATTATGAAATTATAGACAAGAGCAAGAAGGTAAAAACATGCACTTTTACAGGGTTTAGTGTAAAATCAAACACCTTTTGCACCCTGGAAGGGTCACATTTTTCGGAAGGTACAAAATTACCATTATTTTTCGACAGATGAGCGTAAAATATACAGACAGATAAAAAATTCTAAAAATTGTTGATTGGGCTTCTGTTGCTCTCATAAAGACCCCCTTATTAATTTGTCTTTAATATCTATAATGTACAGACATTTGTACATATAGATAAATACCATTTGATACATAGTACATAAGCATTTTGTTTCTTGCAATTCGTAGCATATGGGGGAAGAATTCTGGCGGGATGTGCGTTACGATTTTATGGCTCTAGTCGATGTGCTGAATCTCTACGATGATGGATTGTCAACACTGATACTTGTGTCATGCTGCAATAATCTATACTTTATATGTGTGCAAATATTTCACAGTTTCAAGTAAGTTGCATTTTTACTACATACTTCATATTTATAATACATATTGGGTTGAGTAAGATAAATGAATGTACGCCGGCACCAGAATGGTTGCAATAAGCAAACGGAATTCGCTGTGTGATATTAAGTTGTAAAAGAGTGATGAAGGAGTTCCTGTTTTTTTTTATTAACAACTTTCTTCAAGCTATTCAAAAGGAAATAAACAAAATCCTTCCGAAGTAAACTTACTTACTGGAGTGTGGACAGACTTAGCTCACTTATGAGCTAAGCACTACGATTGATACATCTTTGGGCAATCGAAGTGGGGCTTAGTATCAACTTAGAATCTAATACTCTTCACCAGGAAATACAAGATTCCGAAATGGTCCAAGCCCAATCTGGATGGGATATCTTTTCTGGTGAAGCAAAGCACCAACTATCGCGGAATAATACTCGATAGTAAGCTGTTGTGGCGCCTCAGTGTGGAGGAGAGGGCGAAGAAGGCCTCTATGCATGCAAAAAGATGTTGGGCAGCACCTGGGACTTGTCGCCTTCTCCTTCTCACTGGATCTTCACGGTGATAGTGAGGCCGATACTGTTCCATGGGGTATTGGTTTGGTGGACAGCACTGGAGAAGAACACCTTTCTTACGAGTATGGAAAGTGAATATAGGCTATCAATGATCGGCATGACAAGGCACTTAGGACTACGCCAACGTCGGGACTCGACACCTTGTTGCATCTCTTGCCGGCGGACCTATCGACAAAGAATATAGCGTCAAAAACTGCCGTCATTGCCCATAAGGAGGGCAGCGTAACTACTGAACTGCACTCCCTCGAAGCGAATAAACGGAAACTCGATCTGTCCATGATCCGGCAGGCGCAGTAGGCGCGGAACAAAACGCAAGGTGTGCAGGGTTATGTGCCGAGCATATGACCTCACGAAGTTTCTTCTTAAATTTAGGTAGACTTTACGAAGATTTATATTGATTTAATTGGCAGTGGAAACGATTATGGCTTATTTTATAAATTTCAATACAATGCCGGTGAAAAGACATGACTAAATAGGTCATCGATGTCATTCAAATAAACGACGAGCAAACCACACTGATGACCAGCAAGCGACCGAAAATGATAACAATCGTATTGATATGTCCGAATTAAATTCAAGAGTGACTGAAAATTAACGTCCAGTGGATACATGAATAAAGCAAAGAAAATCATATAAGTGCTCTGATTTTCATATTTCCCATTTTATTAGACAATACAAAACAATACAACACAACACGACATAACATGTCATTCTTAAATTTTATCTTACTCTTTTTTGTCTCTACCTTTGTCTATGCCGATTTTTAATCTCTTCATTTTTATATTTATCACTTCTTCAGATCTTTATCTGTATTGTTTTCTTTATTTAAGTATTTAAATTTACCTTCCTCTTTGTCTTTATGTGTAGGTTTCTTTACTTTTATTTTAATCTCTGCGTTTATCCCTATCTTATTCTACATACTCAACTTTATCTTCTTCCTTGGTTGAGTCTAACAGCCAGTTTCACCAAATTATTTAAGTGAAAATTACTTCAATTTGGGAATTTGTGGTTTCACCGATCAATTTTAATTTTGATTTAAGTGACCTATGCTCTTCACTTAAACATAAATTAAATCAGAATAACCACACTCAGAGGTGTTACACGTTTAATCACCTGATCATTGTGTATCTGCTGCTTACTTGTATACCAGCCTTGCTTTTATAACACAGCGTGCCAAAGCTTTCAAAAGCTCTCAGTACAAATGAAAACTTTCGCTGGCCTAGTCTGTTTTACAACCACTTTTTACTCACTTAAATAAATAGTTTATTGAAACTGGAAATTATTCAAATGAGAATAAATACAAAATTAAATTTCAGTTAATTTCCACTTAAATAGTTTGGTGAAACTGGCTGTTATTCCTAAACTGCTGCTTAGCACGTTTCTATGATTCAGTATGAATATTAAAGCGTACATTTAGGAGGCATTTCTGGCCCAACCATGTACATGTACATATGGCGTTGGTTTTGGTGTTACTTTTGAATTGATTTTTTCGCTTTAACTTGAAATTTTAAAAATTGCCTGGACATCAGCATCAAAATACCTTTCTAATTATATCTAATTGTTTATACCTTAGAAGTACAGTTTAGTCGTAAAAGGGATGTAAAGGAAACATGATTGCCTATTTATGTATATATAAGATTAGGACTCTCCAACCGTTTCGCATAAGCTAATTACAATGAGGGGAAAATCTCAAGTTGACATAAAAAAACCCCCAGACATGCATCTGTATACCGTTATTCGAAACCATGCCATAATGTTACGTATACGCCGTGTCGGAGATGGCTGCACTTGTAAATAACCGTACATGGCGTATGAGTAACCTTTTCCATATTAAAATTTGATTTTTTTTCATTGGCAAAATTTAAATGAAAAAATCTTAAGAAAATGACCTGATCTAGGAAAACGGTATCCAGATCCGTAATCTCCGACGTAAAATTAAGTTTACGTATCTGGGTGTTTGTTTTTTGTCATTTTAGCGTTAGGTACAGTGTTATGAGTTCCACTTAATAATATAATAATATTTACTTATGCATGTATTCTTTCATGATTTTACCCATATGCGACTATAGCACTCGAGAAAACTTTATGAAAGAAATTTACTTTTGGTTCTCATTACTATTCGTATTGGTGCGCATTTCAACAATGATGTTGTCGGCTGGCGCCGTACATAGCGAAGCTAATCAAATAATGTCGACCATGTATGAGATACCAACGAAATTCTGGAACCTTGAAGTGAGTACATAACTAGTACTATACCTACATACATACTATATACATACATCTCCACATACATATACAAGTAAATGGATAAATTCCCAGATATGCATCAAACTTATCCTTTGAGTTTGTGGAATTTTATTTGTTTAACCAATTGCCTTTCAATTTCGTTTTTTTTATTTGTTTGCTATGTTAACCTCTGTTGAAGAAACTTCAACTAAAATCGTTTCGCATCTCTTTTATTTATTTATAAATTTATTGCTCATATTTGCATAGCTCAAACGTTTAAATGAAATCATCATACACGATTTGATTGCCTTTAGTGGTAAAAGTTTTTTCTTTTTGACGCGTCGCCTCATATTTGCGGTAAGTTTGTCATCATTATTGCTTAAGTATAGTCATAAATGTTTTTAAATATAAGTACGAGTATGTATATGAGTAGGTACGAGTACGTATACTAGTGTTTTGCTATTTTTTTGACTCTTTTTTTAAGAAGCCTGTGGAGCCAAACTGTGCTTAAGTATAAAGTAAGTTTTTTCACAACCAGAGACTTTGAATAAAGATTTTTGGATTTTGAAAGCAAAAGGTCAGTGACAAATTTATCGTAACGAGTTTTCAAAGACACAATTAGAAACCTTTCTCTTTGTGTAATATATTTTGCTCATGGCTTTTAAAACTAAATATTACTATTCTATTAAAAAGCTAAGTCTTCGTGTAATTTTTTGAGCAGGTTCAGGTTGTTGTCTTTATACTCCGGAATTTTTTGTGCTTTATTGGATTCGTATTTAATTTCTTGGTTTTTTCTCGGCTTCATTTGGGATTTTTATTGGGGCCTTGGGTTTTTGCGGAACTATTTCCAATTCTTTCGGGCTCATTCGGGATTTTTCGGAACTCGACGGGATTTTTTGCGATTATTTTCTTGATTTTTTACGAATTCCTTGTTTGTTTGGGTCTTTTAACGGGACCTTCGGTATATTTCCGAAATTTTTCCACAATTTTCGTGTTTTATTTTGCGATTTTTTCGGTATTCTCTCAGGACTTTTAATGGATGTTTTTGGGTTTCTCGGAACCTTGTCGAATGCTTCGTTTTTTATTTTGATTTTTGAAGTTTTATATAGAAAATTTCGGATCTTTGGAAACAATTCGTGATTTTTCGGTTGGCTGCAGATCCTGAAAGCTTTTTCAAGAGTTCCGAAATTTTCGTGGGATTTCTTCAGTAGAAGTCAGATTTTGTTTTTATGAAAATTATCGAAATTCTTTTTTTTAATTTTTTCGGGATTTTTAGGGAAGATGTTGTTTTTTCGGCACCTCCTCTCGGGTCGTGGTTTTTCGGAACTTTGCCGAAATCCTCATGACTGCGTTTTGAAGTTTTTCTTTGATTGTTTTGGGCTTTTGGGACCTTTTGGAATTTTTCGGTAGCTTAAGGCCCTGAGGAAATTTTTCATTCGGTACCATTTAGAAGTTTTGAAACCGTTTCGTATTTTTAGTGTTAGGTATGTATATGTTTTGTTATTTTTTCGGAAATTCGCGAGAGCTTTATGATCCAAAAGCGCATGCATACAATAAAAATGTAAAAATTGCGGATTATTCTTGGCTCACCGCAGACTTTTATGCATATAAAAAACACTTAACCCTAGTGTACACCCACTGTACTCGTATATACATACATGTGTACATAAGTAAGTATACTATTCAATGAAACAGTTAGAAAAAGGCTGAAATTGAGATTTAATTTTATTAATAAGCTTGAAGCATTTACGGCCTTAGTTTTACAGTCTCGATGGGAGGTATTTATTGTTTCCTATCAAAGTTTTGAGTAATTTTATAAAAATGCTGGGCTCAATTTATATTATTACATTACATATAATATTTTTAAGCTTTTATTTTAATTAAATAATTTTCGTTTCTTTTGTAAATAATCTTAAAATCTCAATTTCCATCCTGGGCTGCTTCATGTGAATAGTATTTATTATTACATATTTTATGTATACATATATATATGTATGTATATAACAAGAATGAACTAACATAATATATATACATATATATAAATATATCCTTGCACTCATCAGATGGCTGGCACTATTATCGTGTATGAATTGGTGCTAATCGATCAGGTGGAGGATAAGGATGTGGTTACAGATTATTGTACATCGCGCAATGTCTAAGGATATATGTAAAAATACGAGGAAAACTAGTTAATAGCATGTAAAGGGAAGAATGAGAAACCCCAATAAATAATAAGTAAATTATAAAATTTCAATACGAAAAATTTGCAATCACAAATTGTACCTTTATTTGTTAGTTAATTTAAAGTAAATGTATGACTTATTATAAATACATACTTACATACTTAAGTATAAATACATGTATAACATAAAAAAATGCATTTAAATGTATTTTAATGGCTTCAGAGAATTTAAGGTAGGTATATAATTCCTTGTTACGTAGTCTCTTTACAATAACTGGTTTCTGTTTGTATTAAATTCTGTACTGTCTTAAATTCCAGCTCGATATTCAGTATAAAAATTTGCATAAACTTGAGTTCATTGGCCACGGAGTCTCTCTTCCGCTGCAAATGCCATTTCGAATTTGCGCTCCTTTACGTGGCAGCTGTTGTAGATGTCGCAAGGCCCTATGCTTTTCCTGCTTTCTTGCCATTCCATAGCATTTCTTGGATGGCGGTGTTGTCAGCCTTGGTCTTCAGGAGGTCATAAACCAGTCGGGCAGAGCCAGCTTCCCCATCAAAGGTCCGGATATTCCAGGCGCATACCCTAGAATCATAGTCCTTTACACGTTTGCCATGGTCGTTATAAAAGAAGGGAGTGCCATCCGAAGAATTGTTGTAGTCTTCATTGGGAGGCGTTTTAACGTGGAGGAACTCAAACCCAGCGCAGGCGAGGTTTTTCGCCTTCTCATTTTGCCTCTCTCCCAAATGGTTGTTTGGTTGCTAACCAGAAGATACGTGGATATAAATCTCCGGACGTTGTGAACTGCGATTGAATCGTACGTAAAAGTACCCTTCTGGCCATTTCCTGGAGGAAGATTTCCTCATGCACCGAACCAAACTCCAAAGGACATATCCTTGCGCCAAATGATGTACTAGAAAATTGGTATTATGATCAGTGTTGCCAGGTTGACGATTTGGTCGTCATTTTGAAGACGTTTTACGAAACTTCGAAAAAATAACACAATTTAGGTGTAATATTTTTTCAATATTTTTGTATTCGTATATTTTGAGGGATCAATAATACAATCATACAAAATACATGATTTTCGACAGCCAAAAACTTGTTTGTTGGTACAAGTTCACTGTGCCAAACTAAAAAAAGGGTGCGTTTTGACTCTGAAATTGTACCTAAAAAACGCCAAACCTCAAAAAGAAGCAAAAACCTGCACCTAATTCTTCAACTTGGAATATAAAATAGATCATACTAAAAAACAAACTAACTTCCGGGGGCGAATCCTGTCGAATCCACCCAACTTTTATTCTACATGCTAAAACAATTTATCACAAAGGGCATTCTGTACCACGACTAAGCACTAAAACCTATTCGCACAGGCCCAAAACATATTTTTTTTTGTTTTATTTAGCACATACACAATAATTCCAATTAAACCACTAATCCAAATAGACAGTTAGAAAATTAAATTTTTTTTGTAAACAAACTTTGTCCTGCAAATATGCGCGAAAATAATTAATACACTTGCTGAAACATATGCTTAGTTTGAACGCCCACAGCTGGGCAAAAATTGGAACAAAACAAAACAAAAAAACATCAAATCTGTTGGGTTGTTAGTTGTAAAAAAAAACAAAGAAATTTGGCGGGATTCGAAGATTTAAAATTTCACTAAAACGCCGCCAAATTGGTAATTTCTACGGCTGTACGGTGTTAAGTGTGGCTACCACTGTACGGTGTGAAAGTGTTTTTAAAATCAGGCCCAGACGTCACAGCTGAGAACCCGATGAAAATGCAATACGATGGCTGATTTAGTACGCTAGGTGGCGCAGGATTTGAGATATTTGAAAAATAAGATTTGCTTCATATTTAGATTGCACACATATTACTTCCGTGGAAAGAAAGAGCTTAAAAAAAAAATTGCCCGAAAGGTGGAGCGGGGGTCGAAATATTTCGAAACCTTGTATTTGTGGTCAAATTTCGTATATATTTTTAATACATATTACCTAAATAAAAAGGAATAACTGCATAAAAAATTATGCCAATAGGTGGCGCGGGGGGTCGAACTATTCGAAAAACCCGCATTTATGGTCCAATTTGGTTCATATTTAGAAAGGTTGCTTAAAATTGTTTTCACTATCAACCCATTTGCTCGTGGAGCCAGAAATTTAGCCGGCACTTTACTACTTAACTACTAACTTAATCATTCATGACAAAGTTGCACATTTGATGAATAAATATCGTAACATTGGCCAATAAAAAATTGAGAGTCTCCAAAACTACATTTAAGAGCACCATCAGAATAGTGCATACTCGCACTAAGGCAATTTTAATTGGAGTATTTCTTAGCGACACTGTGTAACAAAATGTGATGAATAAAACCAGACGCGAACGCAGTATGAATATTTTGAAAGAAAAATAGCTCTAGAATGATTACTTGCCGTTTTGTCCCCGAACGGCATACTTTTTATTTTACAGTGTTTTGTTTAGTCTCTAGTTGATGTTATTTGAAAAATCTCTTAAAAGCTACATTTAACATTCTTCTTGTATTTCAGTAGGTAAAGTCTAATTTAATGGCGCATATTTTTAGGCAACATTTTAATCCTACTGTTTCGCGAACGTGTGGGTCATTCTGACCCTCGTTTGGTTCAAATAAAATAATGGAAATATGTGCCCTTAAATTTTACTGTAGTTCCTTAAAGACAGGATTTATGGTAAATGAAGTTTTTTAAAACATTCTTAAAATAATTCAGATCAACTTAGCAACAAATTAGGAGAACTTCTTTACACTCTAAAAAATGTGACATTGAGGCACAGAACAGTAGGGGTCCAATATTCTAGAGCTTTTCCTCTCTTATAATTGCCATACCTCATTACTGTCTTTTTTTGTTGGCTGTCGCACAGTGTTATTTGTAGTCATGACACTTGACGCCTTAATTAACATTAAAGCCATGAAACCAATTAAAATGGTTTCATTTGTTCACATTTGAGCTCTTACCAGCACCACGGTCATTGTGCTTTTACTATTGAAATTTAAATAATTGAAAAATGGCCAGCAACGGAATTTGTATAGTAGGCACAGAATGTTGCTCATACGATATGTTGCACGAGGAGTTTATGTTGCTAGAAAGTAAGCATGTATATTTGTTTGTATGTATGTTTATGCGTATGCTGCTAAAGAATTCA